AGTGGGTGCCAAGAGCTCAGTGTGTTTTCAACACGACAAGCAGATGGAAACTCCTCACCAGACAAAAGAATCAATAAATCTTTAAAGAAGACTTCAGCTCTTCGTCTCGCAAGTTGGAACGTGTCTACCATGCTCACAGGCATCTCCGATGATCTTAGAGAGGTGGACGACACTAGAAAGACGGCCATCATTGACAGATAGCTCACCAGACTAAATATCAGGGGGCCCCGAGTGGCCGAGTGGTCTAAAGCGCTGTCCGTTACGGATCACTGCCATCTCACCTCTGTCTGCGTGAGTTTGAGTCTAGGATTCGGCGAATATGGATATGCGAGAAAGCTTGCCAGTAGCTTCTCGTAGGTCGGTGGTTCTTTCCGGTGATTTCCCGGTTACTTCCTCCACCATTAATACTGGCCGCCATGAATATCCTATCATGTGCTGAAAAATGGCGTTAAGCCCAACAACAACAACTAAATATCAGCATAGCTGCCTTCCAGGAAACCAGGTTTGTCTCTAGCGGCTTACTCAGAGAGGAAAACTACACCTTCTTCTGGATCGGCCGAGAACATGGAGAGCCTTACCAGCACGGTGTTGGCTTTGCCATCAAACACACCCTCCTGACCTCGGTTGAGCCTTCCTCAGGGGCACTGAACGTCTCTTGTCTATCCGACTTGCCACTGCTGCAGGTCATGTCAACGTCCTCAGTGTCTATGCCCCCACCCTCAAATCTCCAGAAGACATAAAGTTTCAATTCTATGGGCAGCTGGACGAACAGATCAAAGGATGTCCTAAGGACGAGTTACTATTCCTCCTTGGAGACTTTAATGCTAGAGTTGGAGCTAACCACGAGTCATGGCCTACCTCCCTCGGACATCATGGCACTGGAAAGACCAACGAAAATGGTCAAAGACTGCTGAAGCTGTGCACCTATCATGACCTGTGCATTACAAACACCTTCTTCAAGTTGAAGCCACAACACAAAGTGTCATGGAAACACCCCAGATCTGATCGCTGACACCAGCTCAACTTGGTCATCATCAGGCGCTCTGCCCTGAACATCCTCTCCACCGGAAGCTACCACAGTGCAGACTGTTACTCCTACCACATCCTTGTGATCAGCAGGGTGCTTCTACAGCCACGTTCATTACACCGCTCCAAAAGATCGTCCTCGCATACACTGCGCAGATGTCAATCCCCTCCAAAGTGGAGAAGTATGTGTCCCCCTGGACCAGGCTGTCCAGGACCTGCCAGAGCACGATGCCACAGCCACAGCCACAGCCAAGTGAGACGCCATGAAGGATGCCAGTAGTAATAGTTAATGAGATTTCTATCTCTGGGACCCACTACCCTTCCCAAAATTTCTATGTTAACATTTTCAGCAGCCTTTTCTTTAGCTAAATTTGAATACTTTCATATACTAAGGCTTTTCTAACATATTTCTGATAAAATATATGTTTTGTTGGGGTAGGGGATCCCTGAGATAGGAACAACTTATTTACTATTATTACAGCCATGTTAAATTTAAATTATTTAAAGGAAAAATAATCTCTACGACCTTTGAAATGATGTCATTAGTCTTACACTAGTAGGCAAGTTAAAGTTCAAAGACCATCCTTTGAAAAAATTTAATTAAGCTTTTCCCTATAGATATAAAAAACAAATAAACAAGATACAATAATTGAAATGCTTTCAGGTTTTATTCAGAATGAAGATATTGATATTTTTACAGAGTATCTTTACAATTTTTACTACATTATTATAGATAATCCAATTTCGTTAGAAAAACCTTATTATATCAACAATTTTATACACACTTTTTATATGCCAAATGAACTTCTTTTAAAATATTTAATTATGTTCTATGCAATTTCTCGAAGATGTTATTGAAGTTGTCATGGAAGATCCAGAATCTTATATTGACCCATTAGACGCAGAGCTTACAATATTAGCAAAAAGTTTAGATATTGACAAAGAGTCGAGATAAAATTGATTTTTTAAAATTAATATTCCTCAATGATGAATGTTTTTGTAGACGGCGCAACACATACTCTTAATTATAGCAGCGTATTTACAGCAATTACATACAAGGTTTTGTATATGACACAGACATATAAACTTAATTATGATACTTAGCTTTAAGGGACAGAACAGTTGCATAAAATTTTAATTATGGTACTTAGCTCTAAAATACAGCACATGCACAAATGGTGCCTTCTTTACGTTCAAAAGACTTTTGCATACCCTCCCCCATAATAAAAGCCAGGGAAATGCAAAATGCAAAAGTCGACCCAACAAGTGTTGACATGGTGAGAGAGTGTATTTGTATCTGCTAGGGTTCAAGATTTGTGTGAATCCTAAAACTTGCATTAGGTCGTACTGTATAGAAGCTGACTAATACCTGGAAGTCTAAAGGTAGCTTACACAGTAGGCGTCGCTTATTCGCTTTGTATTTTTTTAATTTTAATTCTTATCGTTAACAAAATCGAGGCGAAGCAAGAAACTTGACAAAATTATGAAAACAAAGATCTTTCTTTCAAAACGACAAATAAAGCAACATTTATCAGTAAATAAAAATAAAGACAATGCAAGGTTCACAAACAGTTATATCCCTTAAAATCCAAGGTAGACAACATATGCCTTAAAATACAGGGAAGACAGGCAGACTTATCTCCCTTCACAATACAAGGAACACAGACAGATATATTTTATTTTTTTAAAAGAATTTAATCGCCAATCAATTAGAACATCAACATCGGATATTAAAAACAATATATTATCGTGTTTATACAAATTTACTTACCAGCTTTTGGAGAAAAAAAACCCCAACGAAAACAACCAGGAGATAGGCGAATATTTATGTTGGTATATTTGTCCTGACTTATCGGATCGTGAATGTTTTCGTATTTTAACATATATTCAGCTCTCAACTTTTCAACATAATCAAAATATTTGCTGCTGTGATCTGATTTAATGAGTGAGACATTCATTCTAACAAATTTGCTAAATCCTACCTGAAATTACATCATTAAATTTGACTCATAATTGCTGGCTATTCCTCATTAATTTTTTAATTTTGCTACTAATTCCATCCTTATAATGGTGTTTGTCGTCAAAATTACTTACGCTTAGTCCACGTTTTATAATTTCATCTGTTTCAAGTTTGTGATAATTTGTTCTAATAAAATTTGTTCTTAAAAAAATCAATGCAGGCGTTTAACGCTGCTTTGAAGTTATCACAATTCAGTCACATACCCACGAGGAATACCTTTTGCTTTTTATCAGTTTATTGTAGTCTCAAATTACGGAGTACATTTTTACTTCTTATTCCAACATATTCCTTAACTATCGCAAACATAAATTCATACTTCCTTTTACCAATGACAATTTATTTGCATTATCATGAAATCCACTACTTTTTGGATAATCTGATAAATCAAATAGGTCACGATATTTATAAACAGCTTGATAAACATAATCACACTTTATGTTATAAACAAATGAATACGTATTAGTAAATAACAACTCCAAATCTGGCCACTGCTTTTTTGGTAAAATTATAGTGAAAGTGGTACATTAGCCATTTTGAAATATCAAGTTAAGCTTCACCAACATAAATAGGTTTATTTTACTTTAAAGTTTCCTTTCTTTGCTGTACTACAACACGATTTCCGTCAAATATCTTCATACTGACAAAACCGACTAATTTTTGACTAATTTATTTCTGCGATTTACGTCATTTACAATTTCAATATTGACTCGCTTTCTGATATTCTCCATCGTCTTTCCAAACATCTACTTGAAAAAGATTTTTTTTCCTTCTCAAAATCGGTCTTAGCAATAGCACGACGTTTGGTATTTTAATCAATATAATCTTCCATCCACTGTGATTGCTTCAATTTTAACACGCGATGAATGTTTCTCAGAATTAGTCCAACATCTACTGCTTGTTTGAAATTTTTGTAATGTATAGCGCAATTTATTTTTAAGTCAAGATGCTGTTCTAACATGTTTTTTTTAGCTATTTTAGACAATCTGTTGAAAATTTTAATATTGTCAATTATTTAAAAAAAACACGGCAGGATTGTTATCTCTGTATAATTTTTTTTTGGACTTGAACAATTATCGTTAGTGCAACAGGCTACTTTATAAGCTGCTCCACAGGGAGCATGTTGTATTTTTCTAGTGCCTGATTTATTTGGATCATTTTATGTGCCTGCCACAGGAAGAAGCAGACACTCAAAATCAGTGTAAATAATAAACTGGATATTTAATTTATGATTGTAATTTGTAAATTTTATTTAAAAAAAATTCTCCTGCCATTGTTATTCTTTGAACATTAACACAGTATTTAAGGTGTTCTTACAGTTTTTCATCCTTAGAAAAATATTGTAAACAACGGTAGCAGAATAGTTTTTTTAAATTTTATTTTTTTATTATATTGTATGTCAACTAAGCCGTTAAAGTTTTTTTAAACAAACGTACTGATTCATATAAAACGGCAATTTTATTGTCAATTGCGATTTTTTAAAATGAAATATACCTTGGATAAGCGTTTTCACGCTCGTCAAGACCATATATATTAACTGAAATATTATTTTGCTTTTCAAACTTTGGTATTTGATTTTTTTTCCAACTGGATAGCCAATGCCATTAAAATTAAATTTTGATACGTGACTAAAATACTTGTCAACACGATCAGCATTTTTTTCTGCTGGAAACATCGCAGAAAGAAAAGCCCATTGGAAAAATCTGTTAACAAAGTTTTTTACGTTTATGCAACAATTTAAAATTTCCTTTTAGAGAGACCAATGTAAGAACTACCACGAAAAGCGTTATAATTTGCAGTGGGAATTAAAACTTCTTTTATGGTTTCCCATTTCCAACCTTATCTTGATTGAGTAAATTTCTACAATTTTTTAAAATTCATTTCCGACTGATGAAATATTTGTTGCAGCAAATATTTTTCGTGATTTAGCTGTTAAATATGGTTCACTAATCTCGTTGACCGCTCCGGTGGCCTAGTGGTTAGAGCGTTCGCCTCGGATGCGGGAGGTCGTTGGTTCGATCCCCGTTCGAGTCATACTAAAGACTTACAAAAATTGTACTAACAGCTACCTCGTTTGGCGCTCGGCATTATGAGGTTAGTGTTAGGACTGGTTGGCCTGGTGTCAGGATAATGTGACCGGGTGGGCCATCATGCTACATGTCTGCGGCATGATGCCCCATTGCTAGACATCACTTTAAACTGCCACACTGCAGACATCGTAGCGATATGACTGAAAAAGTGTTAAAGCTATGTTAAAAATTATAATAATCAAATTACTAATCTCGTTGAGGAAATCTTCATTTTCAAAAAATATATCAAGTATATCTTTATGAGGTGCATATTGCTTTGATAAAATAGATTTTGATCATCAAATTTATAACAGTTATCAAATCCTTCAAAAGCGGTGGCTATTTTAGTAGGTTCTCCCATAAGGCTCTTTTTATCAATGTCTCGCAATTTCAGCATTATTTTTATATAATGTAATAGTATATATTTAATTGATATCTCACCGCAATTTCGCACGCGCTAGTTGAAAAATCGGTAGAGATATAAATTGCTTGTAGTATGATGAAAACATATGACAAGCGCAAACGAGCAAGCGTATTATTACTTTCAACCGAATTTCAACTTGTATCAGGGAAATATGTTAGGGTCGTTGATACACATCAAATACGGAAAACCTTTTGGTAAAACAACGCCATCAGCTTATAATATCAGCGTTAAAGGTGATAATGTTAAGAGAACGTAAATGTTGAAATTTTTTATTTATACTTTATTTTGTGATGCAATTCCAGAAGGACAACGAGTATATCATGTCAATGGCGCAGTTTCCGGTGATAACATTGAAAACGTATCTTTATAAAGTGAATTTCAGCCGCATCTGGTATTTAATTTTTACGAAACCTCTGAAAAGGAATTAATAGATAAAGAAAAACTGTAAAAGTGTTGGGTAATTTGCAAAATAATGGATACTTGCTTATAGTTGTTCGTGGAAGTAAAACAAATTTTGCTGGTTATCAATCGCCTCGTTTTTTATGACACTTTAAACAGACTTACATAAAATGATTTAGTGATGGACATAGTCAAGGATATTAAATCAGATAATCGTTTAGTTAAGTTAGATATTGTCACTCAAAAAGAAAATAGCAGACGAAGTAAAACAGTAAATCATGATTTTAGTAAGGTTAAACATATTGTTTCATTCAATCTTGAACCAAACTAGAAAAAAAATTTCCTTCAATTTCCTCTGCTGCCAGATACTTTAAGATAAATTCGGCAGTTGTTAAATTTGTTGCAGATGGTATTAGAAAAACAGCAACAGCACAGTCAACATTTGACAGAATTATCTTTAAATACGATGATTAAATATATTTGCTAGCTTGTTTTTGTTAGTCATTAAGTTTATTTTTCTGCCTTTTTTTAGCAGAATCTTATTAGAATCGAATTGCATAACAATAATTTTGAATGAATAAGGATTATACCCTAACAAACATTTTGGAAATGCTTCAGCTAATTATTCGTAATTTAATATACTAACTTTTTGATATTTTATCTTAGCAGATTTTATTTCGTTAGTCGTCTTATAATTATAATTTAGGTAAAAAAATATTGTAATATAGATTTTATTAAGCGACTTGCTAGTATTTACGCAGACGATAATTTTACACCACAATATAATCGCACATACGATGCTGTCTCAAGAGATTTCACCTCTGGCGAAAAGTCAGTTGATTACAAACAGAATGACATTTTTTTAACAACTACGATGAACAAAACGAGATTGTAGGTGTAGTTGATAAGAAAAAATTACAGCAGAGTATCAACTGGTCGATTTAGCAGAAAATAGCATATCACCAAAAAAATGAAATTTAATTTTACAGTAGATGAAAGTCAATCGTTTTGTCGGCTGATAAAACCCTTTCTAAACATTAAACTTCCAGACCGACAGAAAAATATAAAATTCGATTTTATATTTGTCAAGATTTTTAACTTAATGATGAACTCTGACGATCGCAGACAATATCTAACATCGTTATGTAAACCAGTAAAATGTAAAACTATCAAACGTAAGCATGAGGAAATCTACATAAACATTATTTCATAATATGTTTGGTAGGGATCCAACTATTAAATAATTCGTTGTACCTGTGCCACTTGACGAGGTTTTAATTACCACGCGTTTTTATTACTCGTTCGATAATGAAGACATCTTGTTCAGTTGTTTGTATTTCTTGTTCGTAAAAACTGCCCGTTATAGGCTCGCCTGATAAATATCTTACTGCATATGTTATTATTATTATCGTAGACAGAAACCCATTGAGTGCCAGAGCCATCATTAAAAGTTTGTATGTTTGCGAAATCATACGTCATTAGATTTTTTCAATTATCTCAAAATTACTTAACGGCAGCAATGACATTTTCGTGAACGATGTCTGGTACTAGGTAGTGTCAGTTCACGCCCGATTCCTAGTAGATTCGGAAGAAGACTTTCCGCTAATCCTGCCAAAATTAAGGAAAAAATAATTCTTATATTGTTCGATCGCGTTGCGATTTTCGAGGATGTCTTGTTTTCTTTTTGTTAGGACGATTATTAATTTTCTATGCTGGATTTTTTCATTTTTGTTACATAAAAGTAACGATATATTTGTTTGATTCCATCGCCTGACACCGCTTTTTTAGTTGTTCTCCTGATCCTGCCGCTAGTTCAAGCGTTCCTAATATAGGTAGAATTTTTCCTATTACATTAAGTACTGGATCAATAAATCCACCATATTTTGACATCGCTGTTACTTGCGAAACAGATAGTTTAACAACAACATTAATTTTTCCATCTAAAATTATTTGAACTGTATTGAAATTATCATCACTCCATTTTCGAATGTATTCAAGATCGGTAAATTCATCTTTTGCTAAATATTTTTGAACAAATTTAGAATGTTCGTAACCTTATATACTTTTTTCTCTAGCTTGCTTTCTTATAAATATTATATTTTCATCAATGGGTATCGTTACTACAGTAGCTACAGCTATTCTCTTTTGTTCCTCAGTTATTTGTTGAGTTAGCTCTAACACATTTTCCATCAAACTCTTAACTCTTCTGGGTTAATAGAGGATCCTAATATTGCATAATGAAGTGCAAGAGGGTTGTTTATTAATCTGTTAAATTCATCCTGTAGTGCAGCAGGATCAATAATGTTTCTTAAAAGTTCCTGTGTAATGTTTCAGTTTCTTCTTTCGATCTTTTTCCGATTAAAACTAACAACCCTTTTTCTTTCATTTTTTCTAGTTGTTCGGAGACAATGTTGGTATTTATGGTTGCTTGCCAAGTACTGCTTTGACTAAAGGTTTAAATATTTGGTGTTTTTTTTTCTTCAGCTTGAACTTGTTCACGCCGAACTTCTTCCACTTTTTCTTAAAAGCAGCTCGAGTTTGAACAAATTTCTTTATTAACTCAATTCTTTGCTGATGCTTGTCCATTGTTTATTTTGTATACGCTCTACAAAATTTGTCCATAGAAACGTGTCAGTACAACGAAACGTCTTATCCGGATCACGCGCTAGTTTATCAAATAAAAATAGATTGTATTTGTCTTGGGTTGCTTGATGATATAATTCAATAAGTTTATATTTCCTTACATCACCGCATTGTTCGTTTGTAATATTTCTCACATCAACACTATCTAGTCCAGGAAATAATATAAAACATCCTGTTTTTCACCTGATAAACCTGTCAACTTTGTAAGAGCCTTGCGCTAAACAAATCGAATTACATCTTTTGTTACGCAAGAACGAAAATTAAAAATTGATCTTATTCATCTCCTCGTTATTTAGCGGAATATCGTCAAATACAGTATTTTATACTCGGATGAATCAAGTTTGTTAACTGGAATTAATTATTCTGGTTGTTTTATTAAAAATATATATCGTCGCCAGAGTCAAGTTTATCACGAAATTTGTCATCCTACTCGCTTAATAATTTGTATTTATCCTGTTGTGGGTTAATTTAATAAGTGTATACCTTATCGTAGTAAAAGTTATCGTTGAGCAAAGATTTAATAACCAATTTGTTTTACCTGATCCTGTACGAACAACAATAAGATAATGACAATCAAGAAGTTCGTTATTATGTTTAGGCTTGATTAATCGTTCGGTGTCAAAATTCACTATATAATTTTATGTTATATAATTTATATAATATGAACTATTACACAAAGTTTAAAACAGAACTTACATGACCTTTTTTCTGATAATGAACGAACAATAACAGATGCGTAATCATTAGTAAGTTAAACTGGCGATACAATGACAGGAAACCTATTTATGTCAAATCAACTCCTTATGGGTTTGGAGGTAGATTATCCACCACCAAAAGTTGATCTTATACAATCTGTTAGTTACTCACAACTTAGAACGATTGACGATAACAAACCATCACTGACAGGAGGGATTTTAAGCGGAAACTCTTGTCAGGAAAAAAAATATAAATTTGGAAATCGCGTAACCGCCAAGGAACTTAAATCAAACATAAGCGATAAGTTATTTACAGTTAAAGTACGTGGATGATAACAAGCTTGATAAAACTTGTGGAGCGGTAAATACCAACATGTCCAGTAAAAAAAAAATATTGTGATTGAAACTGTATCCATCAGCAAATGTTAATAATGCACAAGCGGTTAGTTATAAACAATAAACACCTGTTGACGATAAAAAGCTGAATAAAACTGGCGACACAACGATAATGAGCAATAACTAAAAAATAACTTGATTACCAACAACTTCGCCACCAGCAAATGAAACTGATACTGTTAGTTACGCTCACTTAAAAGAAGAATTCACCCTGTATTTAAAACGATCTGGTGGACCAAGGTCAAGTAAGATAAATATGAGAAATAACAAAATAACATTGGCCTATTTTCCAGTTAACTCTGATCTGACAAAAAAGGCTTATATTGACAGTGTGGTTAGTGGTGATATAAAGCGAACTAAAAATAATGTTGGGTATATTCCAACACTTTTCAAAGCTATTGATAACCG